ATTGTTCGGCAAAGATAACTAATCGTAATAGTATAAAACAAATATTTTTGAGGTTGTGATTATTGAATGAAAAAATTGGAAATTTATTATTAGAATTAAAAGATCTTTCTTTCTTTCTATCTTTTTTTCTTCTCCCTTGCGAAAATAATTGAAGGTTTACTGCAACAGTTATAAAAAATATGGATCTTCCCACTATGGATTAATCTCTTTAACTTTAAAATTATTACGGAAAATGTGGATTAGTTCACTGTTGCAATAAGTTCTCTAATTTTATAAATGTTATTCAGAAATATGGATCTAAAGTATTAACGTGCAATAATTTAATAAATTAAAATAATTTTCCTGATATTTTAAAGATAAATAATTTAGGCTGTCAGTTATGATTTTGAAAACTTCCTAAGTATTTTTTTTTTAAGAGTCGTTCAGATTCAGAATTGATCTTAACGGCGCCTCGAGGTCTGGAGGAACGGAGGAGGCTGCAAAAAAAAAGAGCAGTTCACGAGACTCTTGTAAATGATCCGGCCGCGTGAGTTCAAAAGAGTTCGATGCTTCCGTCATGTTAAAGGGCCGATGCGTTGGTTCGAGCGAAGATTGGACTCAGTTGGAGTCGGAGATAGAGCGAGCGATCGATCTCCGTTCATGAACGAAGAAGCGGTGAATACGGCCACGCCAGGAGCCAAGAGAGGAGAGCTAGCCGGGCCTCTCTCCCGCTCTCAAAGCTCCGATATCAGATCGCTCGTATAAAACTATCGTATCGTTTAAATACGCACTGAAAGGTGAGGCGATGCATCAGAAGATACGCGAGCGATGGCAGGCAGCCTCTTCTCTTTCCTTGGCCTGCGTCCTCCTGTTCCGTCCACGCTGTCGATCCGCGCTGAAGATATCCGCCTGGAATCCATGGGAACCACAGAGAACCAGGCTTAACGCGTATAACCCCCTCCCTGGCGTCACAATGAGGCCCACCATCCGGACCTCTTGTACCTCATCTCCGCGTTTCCCTCCGGCTTTCTCTCTCTCGATACATATATATGCTCATTCTTCCTTTTTCGTTCGAATTTCTTTTCTTGTTTTTATTGTTTTATGACAATAATATTGAATTATAAAGCGCACGTATCATTTGCTTTAATCTATAGATTTTAATAGATTACGTGAGAAATTTTTATTAGATTAATATAAATTTGTAAATTATATGATAAAAGTGCACAAGATAATAAAAGTAAGAGATAAAAATAAAATAAATAAAAACGGTAACAATATATTGTTATTCTCTGGCGGCACAACGATCGATATTATCGACATCACTGTTTATATTGAGATAATTGACAGAAGATCGCGCATCAAGTTTCTGAAAAGGAGATGCGATCGTGGCACTTTTCTGCATTGCTGATGCTTCGCTGCTCGATATTCACGATAGCTACCGATTCCGTTCTTCCCCTTTTCGTTGGAATCCGTAATTGGGCGGGCATTCCACGTTATGAGTTAATTCCAGCGTGTCGGTATCGGCAGAGATCATATCGACGCGAAGAACAACACGAGACGATCTTAGTTTTCTCGATCAGCATTTCGCAATAAGATAAAATGAAAGGCGATATCGTTAGTTTAACGAGGAGACGGATCCCTTTTGGATTTTGCTTTAGACTTGTGTATGTATATCAATATTCATTTATTGATATATAATTAAAAATTAAAAAAATTAAAAATGATTTTGTCAGGCCTTAATGATTTGCAGTATATTATAAAATTATATAAAGACAGTAAGAATCTTATTGGATCGTATACATGTGAATACACAACTAATAGGAAATGATAAAACTAAAGATCCAGCTTCGATAGTTATGGGCTTTATTTCTTATTGGTTTCTTATTTATGTGAAGACATTGGATGTATAATCATATAGAACTGAATGATATAATATATTATTATATTTCAGAATATAATTAACGAGCATCTATACATTCGCTCGTTTAATCAAGAAAAAATAAATTAATTAATCTTTAAATACATATAATTAATATGCAAATATTAATGTAATATATATTAATATATTATACATATATGTGTAAATAATATATACACTATTAATTAAATATTTATAATTTATACAAATAATTTCTTAAATAAACTTAATTTCTTAAATAAATAAATATGTATAGAGGAAAGTTCATTTTGAGTAAATGCTAGAAGTCTATGGGCAGAATTTAAAAAAATAATAAGTCATTTTGAAAAAAATTTAATAAATTAAGCTTTAAGATAATGTTATATAAAATTTAATTCAAATTTCATTTTTTTTTGAAAATTAAAGAAATGTAAAAAGTGAGCAAATCGCAAAATCAAAAAATTATGCTCCTAATATGACATGGCCTGAGAAATCAATAGTAAAACGCAAAATATATCCGTATTGCAACTAAAAAACTTTATTAATGTTTCTTAAATACAAACAAACACACTGCCAGAGTGCGCGTACATTATTCCCAGAACTCGTTTTCAGATAGTTGAAATCAGGCATCGTAGAAATAGACACTCTACGTTCATTCCGATTTTCCTTTTTATTGTACAATAATATTACAATAACAAGTATTTTAATTTATACTTTAGCAACGATTTTCACTATGACATGGGAGCGCGAGTTATTTCATATTAGAAATACCCTGGGCATCTCATATTACGATTTCCACATCTTACGTTCATGCCTTACAGTTTCATCAAATCTAACTTCTGTAATTAAGTAATTCAACACATATTTTTCTATTAGTACGACCTTACTCAATCACTACACGAAGAATTTATTGCCAAATATTTATTCATTAAATAATAAACAATGTTTAAAGGCTCATCTCAATAAAACTTGAAGATATCCAAATTCTAAAATTTTTTTTACGATAACTACAGATATGATCTAATAATAAATTTTCTACTAAACAATTTTCAATCCAAGAGCAATAAATTCATGGTGGAACCAATAGGTAGTTTATTAGTTTAGCAGAAACGTCGCTATCTCATATTAGGCACCTATCTTATAATAAGAGGCTTTCTACATATTATAATACGTAGTCTACATATTATATACACATAAATATAATATATAATAAAAATAGTAATATTTAGAATAGTTTACAAGATTATTTTTTTAAGAATTAAAAAAATAAAATGCATTTGGAGAGAATACGGAAAGAGAAAGATATATGCACTCTCTGGTTTTGCACAAAACCGGATGCTTGTAAAGACTATATATAAGAGACAATAGCTAGCTGGGGCGGTGGCGATCTTCCGTTTTGAAAAGCAGTGAAATTCGGTGTTGTGTGCATTGTCCGCTTAATGATTGAGTAGAGACATGACAAGTGAAACCGAATACACACACACACACACACACACACACACACACACATCACACATCATACATCACAAGGAATTGCATCGGACGACCCAGGCGTGAGTCTCCGTCGTATACCTATTGCAATCAGACAAGCGTGAGCTCGAATTGTGGGACCGATGGGCGTTTGCTTCTAAGGCCTTCAACGTTGACGATACCCCTTTTATACTGGCGAGCTGATCTTTTCGTATGGCCCATTGGCGATCGGTACCATCCACATCTCACGGAACTATTAGATAGAATTTGCAATTCGATATCTTTAGACGAGGGTTGTGTACGAATTCAAGGTGAAATGATTGAAAGAAGCTTAGAATATTTGTTTTATATATATATATATATATATACTGTGTGTGTGTGTGTGTGTGTGTGTGTGCG